CTGTGCTCCACTTCTTTCTGCTGCAGGCATTAGAGTTGAACCCTTTGCGTCTCTCTGGCAAGATGTTCTGAGCCTGAATCAGCTGGGGGGTCTTGCCTCTAGCCTCTTTGCAGGGAGTTCTGCTGAAGGGTTCCATGCTGGGCCTGCGCTCTGGGTCTGTTCAGGATCCCACCGGGCCCCAGGTTGTCTCACTCACTCCCCGGGCCTGCGCTCTGGGTCTGTTCTTCTTTCACTTTCAGTGTGCTCATGGTTCTGTCATATTGTAGTACATAGAGTACTACTTAAGTCTTTTTCATACTTGAATAATATTTTACTGTATAGATATACCACAATTTCCATCTCCATTCATCAGCTGGTAATTGTTACATTTCTGTCCATGTTTAGGTTGTTACAAATAATCCTGTTATGAACACTAGTTGCATCTTTGAAGAATCTCTGGCTGGTGAGAAGTTGGGGGGCCCGCTGGATCCTGAATAGACCTAGAGCACAGGCCCAGTGAGTGAGTGAGACCACCTGGGGCCCGCTGGATCCTCATTCCACCCAGAGTGCAGGCCCACCGTGGGACCCTTCAGCAGAACTCCCTGAAAAGAGGCTAGAGGCAAGACCCACCTAGCTGATTCAGGAGCAGAACATATTGCCAGAGTGACACAAAGGGTTCAACTCCAAAAGCTGCAGAAGAAAGAAGTGGAGCACAGCAGCCAGACCTCAGCCAGATCCAAGCAACACCCACCTGAAGGAATCTGAACTTTGTAGATCCAGACCTGGTGCTAAGGTAATAACTGTCCAAGCTCTACACCAAAGGTCAGAAGACAGTGGTATACACAATGACAAAGAGAAGGAACAAAATGCAGTCTCAGGCCCCGAGTCTACCAAGAACAATTGCAGAAGACACTAGCATTGAAGAAACTGGAAATCACACACTGGATATCTCTGAAATAATAGTGTTGGCAGTAAAGAAACAACTGCAGAAAAGTATAAAAGAAATCGGATCAGAAATATTTTCTGAACTAAAAAATGTACTGATAACTATAATCAAAGAAGAACTAAGTGCTTCTAAAGAATACACTGATTAAAAAAATAGAGGAGAATATAAAAATGATGGAACCCCTGAATAAGCAATTTAGGAAAGAAATAGAATATATGAAACAGATTCAAAGCAATATACAGGAAATTAAAACTTCAATCACAAACTGGCAAAACCGTTTG